AGTCATGTAAGTAGTTGTAACTAGTACAAGTACGTGTATATGTACATAGTATTGTTACTCAATCTGCGGACAGCATGCTGTTTCGTTCTTTGTGAACTCATCAGCGCAGCACAGAGGAAATGAGGCCGAACCTGATAGCAATGGAAATAAAAATTTCCAACACACATTATTGTTAGATTGACAGCATGAAACAAGGTGGAGGACACTGTGTTCGGAAACAGTGACCTTACTACAACCTTCCGCGGTTGGCAGAGCCCCGGTCAATCTAACATTGTGCGTGAACTATCAAGGCTTATCTAATGCTGGTTCTGAACCAGTATTGGGTAATAACACACGTAGTTACATACTACATGTATAATTATTATAGTATGACTGTAACTACGTGTGTACGTGTGTACAGCACGTAACCAAGTCTTGTAATCTTCGAGTTTTGATGCATGAACCACATCCTAATGACTACTAGTACTACAAGTATTTTAGTACTAGTAATGACTGAGTATCTCTTAATTTGCTGGCCAAAAATCCTATATATAGGATTTGAAAATGTGTGCCTTTTATGCCGTTGTTATTGGTCACCACGACCAATAATAACGGCATAATGGTTTTCATGGAAGTTGTAAATATGTTTGAGGCATGAATGTTTACATTTTAGATTCATAGGGTGATACTATTTCTGACGAATACCCATTTTCAGCAATAATTGGAAATTTGAGCATAATTGTTCAGCTGATGTCATGAAAAGGACTGAAGCAGTAAATGTGCAGTAGAACATTGCAGGTGTGGCACGGGGTGGTTTCTTGACGACCTATCGCACATGCCGTCATGAAACTACCAGTTTTAAGGATAAAACAAGGTCCAATAAAATCTCAAATCCTATATATAGGAATCGTAAAATAGGGCACAGGCCTTAGTAATATTGGGCAAGGAGATGAGCCTGAGATGTTAGTGTTTGAAAAAATTATCTTATTCAACTCTCGGTATCTACTAAGACCTAGCAAGGAAGAATTGGTCACATACTTTTTGCTATTCTCATGCCACACCCATTTTGAGTTGAAAAATATGACCAAAATCCTGTATATAGGATTTAGCAAATTAAGAGATGTGTAAAGCAGGGATACTGCACCAGTACAGTCGACTATGTCAGTCATCATGCCTTTCATGGTCATGCACAGACTCAGTGCTAGTGCCGTGGTGAGGTCTGAGCGTACCGTATGCATAGACTATGAAAGAGGAGTGACAAGCCCTGAGGCTGAGGCTGAAGCAGAGTTCAAAAGGACAGCCGGCGAAATGATTATGATTGTGAACTCGACTCGTTTTACAGTAGATCTACAGACTACAGTCAGTAGATCTACTGGCCAAAGAAATCCAACCTCATTGAATAGTACTACAGGTAGACTCCCTCTAATTCGAATACGGTATAATTCGAACATTCCGTGTAATTCGAACTTTTTCGTCGTACCGATCTTCTGCAAGTCACTTCAAGTCAAAATCGAATGCATAATTCGAAGTACGAAAAGTGCGCCGGTTGGATAATTCGAACCCAGTCTTCGTACAGAAGAGCTGTTTACAGTACATTGGCTATGTCCTTTGAACGCTTATTTCGAAGTGAGATTGAGTTGCAATCCTTGTAATTCGAAGTTCATTCTTTTCTCCTTCTCTAGCCAAGAGTAGCTCAAAAATCGATCGATGGTCCGCTGCAGGATCGACTATAGCGTTCAAGAAACCCACCTTCTCTCGAAATTTGATTCAAGCCCGTGCGAGGCAAATTGCAAAGGTTTGATTGAAGACGACTTCTTCCTGGTGGCTGACTCTCTTCGCGGATCTCGATGGCCTTTCTTACCGCGCCAGCTCGTGCGCGGAGATGTTGGCGCACAACAACACTATTATCGTAAATATTGTCTATGCCTTTGCTCCACTTCCGTTCTTCAGAACGACGTGCTGCTGTCCAACGGCCTTTCGTGACGCCGATTAGGCAGCGCAGTTCTTTTCCGTTGAAATAATTGTTTCAGGAAAGCTGCAGTGACTGACAACTTCTTCACTAGATGTCAAAATGGTTTTGTGTCTATCCAGTGTTTTGATGATCCGTTGTACATGACCCGTACCTATGTTTCGTTGATGCAAATAAAAATGTGCCAAAAATATTCAGCAAGCGATTTCAAGCATTTTGACATACATATCAGTGCATGGGACTGCATTTGGATAATTAGAAGTTCTGGATAATTCGAAGTCAGGGCCTGGCAATTTGAGGTTCGAATTAAAGGGAGTCTACCTGTAGTATTAGTAGTCTAGCACTGCATGTAGTAGTATGACAAAAATGTTCGGTGCGTTTTTCAAACTTTTTGCGTTGTCTAGCTTGGTTCTGGATCTGTTGCCGGCTCACACAGACGGACAGAGACGTGCATACGGTTGACAAGCGGCCACTCACTGATCTACACACTCACTACTCAGAGTAGGGAGTACTCTTTCTCTGCAAACGGCAAAGCTACTACGCTACTAAAGTACTAGTACTACACTGTCTACAGACTGCCAGTGTAGAGAGCCCTTTGCGGCTTTGGCCTTTTGTAGTACAGTAGTAGTAGTACTCAGTAGTACCCTGACTACAACCATAAACCGGTTGACAGAGTCCCGGTCTTGCGACCATTTGAACCGTATTGGGAAAACCCAGGTTCGGACCCCCTGCAGCGGCAGCAACGTGAACAATACTACGGCGGCAACACGACGACTTCTACAACACAAAAAACGGAAATTATAAAAATCCTACCAACCCGTAGAGTAACGAGGGTCCGAACCTGGGTTTTCCCAATACGGTTCAAATGGTCGCAAGACCGGGACTCTGCCAACCGGTTTATGGTTGTAGTCAGGAGCACTACGCGTCCTCGCCTTGTATTAAAGGGGAAGTTAAGGCAAAAATTAAAATTTCACCAGTTGTAGTCTTCGGGGTGCTGAGTCGAATGGTCTTGGTCCGAGGAAGCTGAGACGCTCCCTTCCTACTTGAATCCCAATCGAACTCGCGCACTTCCACCGAAACTGGGTGACTGCGCCCTACGAGATGGGGATTTGTATGCAAAATGTCACTAAAAGCGCCATTTCGTTCTTATAAAAGCACGGATGACCGCGATTGGCCCATATGTTGTAGTCTTTGGGACGCTGAGTCGACTGGTTTTGGTCCGAAAAGGCTGCGATGCGGCGTTCCTCCTTTATTCCCAATCGAACATGGTTGAAGAAGCGGTCACGTGCTCCTGCGTACACCATGATGTACCAGTCAGCTGGTCACCGTGCCTGCAGGGTACAACTTACTAGCCTGTTTGACCTTTTTTGGGTGCAGTCCTGTCACTCGAGTTGAACCCGAGTTGAACCTTGGTGTGAAAGTTGTCACCTGCTGGCGTGGTGACCAGGTGATTTGGGCACCCAGGACCACGTGACCGCTTCTTCAACCATGTTCGATTGGGAATAAAGGAGGAACGCTGCATCGCAGCCTTTTCGGACCAAAACCAGTCGACTCAGCGTCCCAAAGACTACAACATATGGGCCAATCGCGGTCATCCGTGCTTTTATAAGAACGAAATGGCGCTTTTAGTGACATTTTGCATACAAATCCCCATCTCGTAGGGCGCAGTCACCCAGTTTCGGTGGAAGTGCGCGAGTTCGATTGGGATTCAAGTAGGAAGGGAGCGTCTCAGCTTCCTCGGACCAAGACCATTCGACTCAGCACCCCGAAGACTACAACTGGTGAAATTTTAATTTTTGCCTTAACTTCCCCTTTAAAGGGGAAGTATACCCTAAAATCAAATTTTCACCAGTTGTAGTCTTCTGGGTGCTGAGTCGAATGGTCTTGGTCCGAGGAAGCTGCGACGCTCCCTTCCTACTTGAATCCCAATCGAACTCGCGCACTTCCACCGAAACTGGGTGACTGCGCCCTACTAGATGGGGATTTGTATGCAAAATGTCACTAAAAGCGCCATTTCGTTCTTATAAAAGCACGGATGACCGCGATTGGCCCATATGTTGTAGTCTTTTGGACGCTGAGTCGACTGGTTTTGGTCCGAAAAGGCTGCGATGCAGCGTTCCTCCTTTATTCCCAATCGAACATGGTTGAAGAAGCGGTCACGTGCTCCTGCGTACACCAGTCACCTGGTCACCGTGCCTGCAGGGTACAACTTACTAGCCTGTTTGACCTTTTTTGGGTGCAGTCCTGTCACTCGAGTTGAACTCGAGTTGAACCTTGGTGTGAAAGTTGTCACCTGCTGGCGCGGTGACCAGGTGATTTGGGCACCCAGGAGCACGTGACCGCTTGTTCAACCATGTTCGATTGGGAATAAAGGAGGAACGCTGCATCGCAGCCTTTTCGGACCAAAACCAGTCGACTCAGCGTCCAAAAGACTACAACATATGGGCCAATCGCGGTCATCCGTGCTTTTATAAGAACGAAATGGCGCTTTTAGTGACATTTTGCATACAAATCCCCATCTAGTAGGGCGCAGTCACCCAGTTTCGGTGGAAGTGCGCGAGTTCGATTGGGATTCAAGTAGGAAGGGAGCGTCGCAGCTTCCTCGGACCAAGACCATTCGACTCAGCACCCAGAAGACTACAACTGGTGAAAATTTGATTTTAGGGTATACTTCCCCTTTAAACATGCTGTCAAAATCGAAAAACATACTCAGTAGTAGTAGATCTACGCTCAGCGCGGCTCTACAGTACGTAGTGCCTTGACTTTGAGTTTGACTCTTTTTATCTGTTTGAGCCGACTTTTACACAGGCCGCAGCTAGCGCTAATAGTCATGCTCGTTGACCAGGGTTTAGTTGACGTTTGAAGGTTTCCCAGACAAGACCGAAGGCTTTATGTGTGTGCATGCTGCGCTGGCCTGGCAGCTGGGCCGCTTCGGCGAAGCGGCCCAGGCCAGCGCAGCATGCACACACATACACGTCACGGTGATCAGGACACTGGTGATGGTAGGTCTACAACAATATCTACGCATTCATTCCTGCACTGGTTCAGTACTCGAGTGGTGATCATTTTTATGTACTTTGAACCGGTGGAATTTCGTATTTTTGAAAGCCATTCCATCCCTTCTATTTTTCTTCTCTTCGCTCCCGCAACGTCCGATGTAGCTTTCAGGCAGCGAGAGAGAAAGGCCAGCTCATGACTCTTGAGTGTATCCTGTTGTTGTTTGTGCCACCGAGACGACAGCCAGCGCATAGTGAACAACAAAAGGATATCTAGCGCGCAAGGAGACAGACAGCACGTGGCACATTATCTTCGTTGATTAGCTGCATGCACCGCGCGACCTGTAAAAATGAATTCAATGTGGAGTTGGTCTTCATAATTATAATTATTATTAGCTACTTGACGGGAGTGAGGCAGAATGTCGCTGCCGACCGATGGATCATCATCGACTCGCGCCCGCGACGATCTCACTCGTCGTGTTCACAACGCGGCTTCCAGCCGACTGGGAACGGGCGACCTGAAGCGCCTGCTGTCGGAGCGTCCGGAATGTGTGCACTTCAACGATGCGACCAAGCACAATCGTGCCCCGATCCACTCGGCCATTGCGCACAACCAGGACGAATGCCTGGAGATTCTTCTCCAACACGGTGGTGAGTGTGCAGTGCTTGAACTATTGGGTATTTCCAGAATACAAACACCTACACTTCTCGGCCACAGGGGTTGTTTGAGTGCTGTGTTTGACATCTGTGTGTTTGCCTTCGCGTGGAGTCCGAAAATTTATAAAAAAACGTGTCGGGTGGATAAATGTGTTTTGGCGTTTCGTCAAAAGCCTTGCTCTTCAAGAAAACAGACTCCAGCGCCGTGATGTTAGAGCTACGGCTAGCGAGCGGTGGAGTGGCCAGCTAGCAAAGGCTAAAAAATGTTTCTCAAGGAAGTCTCAGACTTCGGTTTGAGCTCATTCATTCACAAGTGCATGTCAGTTGAAGTATATTTTTACTGTACAGTAAAACCTGTGACTAACGACCACCCCTCGGGGCCAGAGAAAGCGGTCTTTAGTGGCAGGTGGTACTTAGTTAGAGGTTTGCACTGCACAACCATAATAATTATATGAACGTGAGACCGTCCGTGCCTGGCGAAGTGGTCTTTAGCACCAGGCTGGTCGCTAGTCACGGTGGTCTGTAGTACCAGGCTGGTCGCTAGTCACGGTGGTCTGTAGTACCAGGCTGGTCGCTAGTCATGGTGGTCTTTAGTTACAGGTTTTACCGTATTTGTTAATTGGACAATTCTTAAATGCCACATCTACA